GGGTCCAGAACAGAGCCTTGGGGAACCCATAGTTAGTGGGGGGTGACCTGGAGGAAGATTCAACAAAACAGACTAACTGCTTCATCTTAGAGTCTCTGATTTCCTTAAAAAGTCATCTGAAATGCTACCTTTTACATTAAGCCTTTCCAAGCTTCTAGTGCCCCCCAACCCCAATTTACCTTTTAATATTTTGTTTATATCACACACACACAAATGCTTTATAATCCAATAGAATGTAAACTCCTTGAGGGGAGGACTTTCATTTTTGTTTTTGTATTCCCAAAGTTTAGGACAGTGCTTGGCTTAATAAATGTTGGTTGGTCGATTTATAGACAATTCGTATCTTCATCATCCCATAATGTATATCTTCTAATGTCATATTCTTTTTTTTTTTTTAGGCAGTTGGTGTTAAGTGACTTGCCCAGGGTCACACACTAGTAAGTGTCAAGTGTTTGGTCTGAGGCTGCATTTGAACTCAGATCCTCCTGACTTCAGGGCAGGTGCTCTATCTACTGCACCACCTAGTTGCCCCCTCACGTCACATTCTTAACAGAGTGATTTTTAGTGAATTTCATTCCAAAGACACACCCACTGTCATTCATCAAGTCTAATTTGTCCCTGTGGCAGATTAGGCAATGCTAGGTTTTAGAACACCAGAGAGGCTGAGATTCTGAAGCTCGGTAATATTTAGATGTCTCTATACATACATATACAAGTAAATATATACATATATGTATATACATACATCAGAATATATGTAAACATTTGAATACACACATGTACAAATATATGTAAACGTGTGTATACATACAGATATGTGATTATGTATGTATATAAATATATATACATATATAATACATACACATATATTTAGCACCTACTAGGGCATTAGGCTATGGAGTAAGGACACAAAAACAATGAATTAATCAATCTCTACCCTCAAGGCATTTCCATCCTATTGGAAGATACAACAAATACTTATATAAGCATACAGACAATACATACAAATAAATGCAAAGTTGTTAACTATAGGGCAGTTTGGTAGGGAGGGAGCATTCGGAGGAATCGGGAAAGGCTACAGGTAGAATGTGATGCTTGAGCCACACCTCAAATGAAGAGAGATTCTCTGAGAAGATTTGAAGGTAATGTATTCCAGGTACCAGGAGCAGTCAGTGCAAAGACAGGAGAGATGTACTGTCTTGTATGAGAAACAGAAGAAAGGCCAGTTTTTCTGGCTCACTCACAGAATGCAGAGGTGGAATAATAGATACTGAAGCTGGAAAGGTTGGTTGAAGCTTTAAAAGCTAAACAGAGGAACTTCCATTTTATCCTAGAGGCAGCAAAGAGGCTATGAAATTTATTGAGTAGGAGAGTGATGTGGTTACTCTACTCAAGGAAAATCACTTTGATAGTGTGTAGAGATGGAATAGAGTTGGGAAAGACCAGTTAGGAGGCCATTGCAATAATGGAAGAATGAGGGATTATTTTAAGGTAGTAACTGTATGAGCTGAGAGAAGGGATGGGATGCAAGAGAAGCTGAGGAGGTAGAAATGGCAAGATTTGGTAAGTGATAGCATATGTGAGGTAGAGGAACCAGTGAGCCAACTTGTTATGTTTTAGCCTAGACAAAGAACCTTAGTTTGAGCTTGGTGTAAAGAGAAGAGCAAGGAGGTACGTGATAGCTGTAATCAAATATCTGAAGTGTAGCAGGGGTGACCCCACTGCTCTGGCTCCATGGGGATGGACAAGCTTGTCAATTAATCAATCAACATTAAGCATCTACTATGTGCTAGGCACTGTTCTAAGAGCTGGAGACAATCCCTGCCCTCAAGGAGTTTACAATCTAAAGGGGGGGAGGGGACAACATGAAAACAAATATATACAAAAGGAGCTATATACTGGATAAATAGGAAATAATTAAAACAGGGAAGGCACTGGAATTAAGAGGGGTTGGGGAAGACTTTCTGTAGAAGGTAGGACTTATAGGTAGCTCCGGAGGTCAGCAGCTGGAACAAGGGCCAGCCACACCTTGGTCTCTTGCTACTTGAAGACACTTCACCTTGTTGAGAAGCAACAAGAACTCCTGAATGGTTTCTGTGTACCTCCCCTCTTCCCCTGACACATAGTAGGTGATCATTGGGGGTTGTGTTAGTGATCACCATTCCAGACAGACTGTTATAGAGAAAACTGCCCTCAGAGACTGTAAGAACTAGATAAGCTCCATCTCTTCTCTCCTTCAGGCTGCCCTTTCTTAGGACAGATCCATCCCCAACTGTGCTGTGAACTTTCTGCAAGGCAGGAATCTCTTTCCCACCACCTCCTCTTCCACTAGCAATGGCTGCCACAACAGGGTCATATAGCAGCGAGAGCATGTGTTTGCCTGTCAGACCTTAGACCAGACCTCAAATCCTGGCTCCCTCTTCTGCTTTGTGTTTCTTTCCCTCTAATCCTGAGACATTTCAAAGCTTAGCAAGCAGCTACTTCATGTGATTGATAATTCTTAGGCACCTGAGTCAGTGCCCGCTTCCCAGCAGGAAGTGTTCCCTGCAACTACTCTTAGGATAAGAAGATAACCATTGATACCCCTGAACTTGAAGGAACCCAGAGTCCCTGGCTGGCCACAAGACTTCAACTTCATGAACTGTTCAGATAATATAGATCCCAGGTGAAGGTTAAATATCTGTTCAGCAGTTCTACTGATTTTCTATCTCTCAGCAAGGTGAGATTGCCATGAGGGGCAGTTGTTTTAAAGTATTTATTAATATGCATTTATGAGTCTTCTGGGTTTAAGCATTTCCCCTGTAGTTGGAGGGGAAAAATAGCTATCCTATACATGGTATCTACTTTGTACACAGTACTTTTGCTTAAAATGACCCAATTGATCAGTCCCTTTCAGGGAGACCTTAGATACCAGCCATACCCTTGGCTTTATTTTAGAGATTTTCCCTAGAGTTATGTTTTGTCTGGCATAACCAGCCAGAGTAAGAAAACACCTCTCTTCTTTAGGGTCATCTTGCCCCCAGGATGAATCCAGGCCCCATAGCCTCTTTTCTGGCTCCCTAGGCATTGGTGGCTGGTTGGCATTTGGAAGAAAGCTTAGATTTGTTCTTTTGGGATCCTTACACACAATTAGGAACAATGGATTCAAGTTGTAAGGACACAGGCGCTAGTTCCATAAGAAGAAAAACATTCTTAACGATTTAAAGGAATGTTAAAAATTTTTTTTTACAAAGAATTGGAAAAAATAAAATTTTATTCAAAAATAAATTTTTAAAAAGATGAATTGTAATGACAGTTGACTAAGAAATTCTCCATAGAGGCAGCTAGGTGGCGCAGTAGATAGAGCCCCGGCCCTGGAGTCAGGAGGACCTGAGTTCAAATAGAGCCTCAGACACCCAGTATCACTAGCTGTGTGACTCTGGCCAAGTCACTTAGCCCCAACTGCCTCACCAAAAAAGAAAGAAAGAAAGAAAGAAAGAAAGAAAAAGAGAGAGAGAGAGAGAGAGAGAGAGAGAGAGAGAGAGAGAGAGAGAGGGAGGGAGGGAGGGAGGGAGGGAGAGAGGGAGAGAGAGAGAGAGAGAGAGAGAGAGAGAGAGAGAGAGAGAGAGAGAGAGAGAGAGAGAGAGAGAAAGAAAGAAAGAAAGAAAGAAAGAAAGAAAGAAAGAAAGAAAGAAAGAAAGAAAGAAAGAAAGAAAGAAAGAAAGAAAGAAAGAAAAGAAAAGAAATTCTCCATAGAAATTACTGGCAATTGTTGAATGGAAGACTGACATTAAAAAAAAATGGTTTGCCATATAGGGTTTCCCATTCCTGGAAGTCTTCAGGCTGTTACTGGATGGCCACATAAGTCAGCGCAAATGGATGCTGCTAAAATACAGTATTTGATAAAGTACATATAGAATTCTGCCAAATATTTATTAAATGTATATTGTATATAGAACTTGGTGCCTGGCCCCGGGGGAAGAGTTTGGGTAGTCCTCATGGAACTTAGTATTTGTTTGCAAGACATCTATCTATCTATCTATCTATCTATCTATCTATCTATCTATCTATCTATCTATCTATTTATCTATCTATCTATCTATCTATCTATCTATCTATCTATCTATCATCTATCTATCTGTCTGTCCGTCCATCATCTATCTATCTATTTATCTATCTATCTGTCTGTCCGTCCATCATCTATCTATCTATCTATCTATCTATGGCCTACTTTGACCTAGTTAACAATCACATATGTTAATACACAAACATTTACTAATCTATGTGCTAGGTACTAAGGCACTAAGCTCTAGAACTAAATTTCTTTTAAAAAAAAGCTGTGGTGTTTTTTTTTGTAACTCGAACTCTTTATGAACTAAAACGACCCCCCACGCCAAACCCCTGACTAGGCGCCGAGGTTTTGCTCGTTACTTATCGAGAAGACACAATCGGGGTTTTGAATCAATCTGTCCGCAAGTATTTATTAGTCACCTACTATACGAAGGGTACTGTACAAGGAAGCAAACAATTTCCATGCTTACATTAGCACATACCCTGACACATGATTCTAATTTTAACATTTCAAAATCTGTTTAAAATGTGAACATCCGAATCCAAACACACGGAACACAAATGCGACGAAGTCCGGCCGTCCCACGCGAAGCCCAGAAAGGGGGGGGGGGCGCACAGATTGAAGCCGCGAGTGTCCCTGTGTGTGCTAGGGGTGAAGGGCACAGTCCGAGTGTACAGTGTAATAACCCCGGAGGGGCAGGGCGGCGCACAGGAAGCACGTTCGCACCCCCGGCGGCCGGACCACTGGCCAAGAGCCCCTTCCCGAGGAGCAGAAGCAGCGAGACGAACAGGTGCCGCCCCTCCCCCACTCCGATCCCTTTCCTCCACCCCTCCCCCTCCCACGCGCCCCCGCCCCCGCCCCACCGGGCCTTTGTGAGCCGCGCAGCGCCGCCGGAAAGGACAGCGTGGGGCGCGCGCGGACCCGGGGCGGGAGCCTAGTGAGGGCGGCTTGCTTAGGGGGCTGGCTCGGGGAAAGGGAGGGGGGGTTCGCACGCTCAAGACGGCCTCAGATATGAGCTATAGGGTTAGCCACAGGATCAACCGGTTCGGCCAGGTGCACAGGAGCCGCCCCTCCCCCCTTCCTTCCCTCCTTCCTCCCCGCCCTCGCCCCGCCTCTTCTCTGGGCCCAGCCAGGCTGAACGGCCTCCCGGGCCCCACCTCAGGGCGGCTCCGCCCTGCCCCGCCTCCCGGAGCCTCGCTCCGTCAGGTCGACCCTCCCTCCTTCCTTCCCTCCGCCGCTGGGCCGCCTGGGTCTGGCTCGTCCCCAGCGGTCTGGCCGCCCTGACTCTCGCCCTCTTTCCCTCCTTCCCTCAGAGGATGTCGGGCCTCCAGATTAACTTCAGCCCGCTTAAGGAGCCACTGGGCTTCATCAAGATTCTCCAGTGGGTGAGTGGTGCCCATGGGCCCAGCCCTGGGGACCGGCGGGAGCCGAGGGCAGGGAGGGAGGAAGGAAGGAAGGAAGGCTGGCTGGGGAGGAGGCCCGGTGGCCTGACCCCACCGCGGAGGAGGCCTTGGCGGGGTCGGAGTGGTGAGGCCTCGGACGCCCGGGTTCGGCCGGGAAGGCCTGGCCGGTGCCCCGCCCCTGAGGCCGAGCTGGGCAGCAGGCGGCGGGGGATGGGGGCAGGGGGAAGGAAAAGGCCCCCGGGGACCGGGCGGATGCGGCTGCGGCTGTCAAAGGGGATCTGGAGGCTGCGGCCCGGGCCAAGAGAGCCCCTCCCCCTCCCCCGAACTTCACCTGAGGACCGTGGCCGGGGGGGGGGGGCGGGCGAGGTGTTGGGGGGGAGAGAATGCTTCCTCTCGCGATCTAACTGAAAGTCAGTCTTCACGCTTCCATTCCCGAACCTCCCGTTTCCTCAACTGTCTTGAAATTATGAACAGGTAGGAGAACACGTGCTTAAGAAATCTGGAAACCCGCTTGAAGGTGATAACAGCTTAGTAAGCGCCTAGAAGTTTAGCGGTTTGGGTTAGGGGGGGAAAGACAAAGAACTTATTTTTGATAATCTGCTGTAGCATGAAGCCAAACTAGTATTTGAATTTTTTTTTCCTTGAAGCAAGCACAAAAATGAACAAGTCCATTAACTTTCCATTGTTTGTGAAGTCCATTAATTTTCTGAGTTGGAGTCGACATATTAAATAACAAGGTTTTAAAAAAGTTATTGCACTAAGACTTTTGGAAACTCTCATGTACAGCCCTTCATTAAGACTTTTGGAACCATTCAGGGTGCCCTAAAAGTCTTAATGCAGTTTTAATTGGAACAAAAGGTGTTTTAGTCTCAGTGTGGTTTTATGCTAACCCTTCAGCTAGACTTCACGAGGACTTCTGGGATACCCGGTAAATACTTAAATGAGCTGTAGATTCATGGGCGTGTGTGTATATTTGCAGAGAGGCAACTGTGAGCCTGTGCTATATAGAAGTCAGCTTTTCTCCACCGTTTAGAACACCCACTGTCTTTAACATTTAAGGAATCACTGATTTCCTTATCTTACATACACGGAGGTTGGGAATTTGCTGGACACCAAAGAACTTTTGAAATATTGTGTGCTTTGAAGGATGATTTTTCATGGTTGTATTTGCAGAGAGCATCTTCTTGTTACACGTAGGATAAGTATGCTGTAGAAAAATTAACAACTCTTTGTGGTTGTGTTTTGGTGAAAGGTAGGTGATAAGCATTTCCTAGTACTGCCACCACCATCCCCTAATCTAAGCCTTTGGTGAGTGTTTAGGAAAACTGAAATTATGCCAAGAAACACTTAGTTTTGAGTTCATGTTGAACGATTTGCTTTCATTGGGCTTGTAGAATGACGTAAGAATGGTGCTGATTGGGAAAAGCCATTTGTCTATGAAACCTAATAGGAAGATTGTAGATTCCTACAGGTATTTGCTGTTTTTAAATAATTGGCAGTCTTTAATTTGACTCATGTAACCAAATTATTCTCTTTTGCAAAACAAAAACTAGGTATAATATCTAGTGAAAATGAATTTATTAGGAAGTTTGAAAACAAGATATGAGTGTTTGGTGCCTGTCCCTTCTGGCACTAGTGAATATGTGTGGTTAGGGCTTTGTGGTTTTGTTTTGCTTTTTTTTTTTCTGTCCCCTCGGTGGAGGCCATCAGGGTTAAGTAACTTGCCCAGAGCCACACTGCCAGTAAGTATGAGGCTGGATTTGAACTCGGAGTCCTCAACTGGAGGGACTGTGCTCTATCCATGCACCACCTAGCTCCTCCTTTGTGTTTAATATTGAGCCCACCATTTGACACCAAAATAAAAGGGGAAACCTCACAAATTAAGTAGCCTTATCTAATGTAAAATAAACAAAATGTGCTTTTTTAAAGCTGAAAGGAACCTTAGACATTGTTTCTTCAAATTCCTTTTTACAGATGAGGAAACAGACCCAAAGAAATGAAATGACTTGCCCATCATCAAATATTTAATTAGTGATATTTGAAGGAATGCTTCAGACTCCCAAGTTTGATGTTTTCTTCACTATACCACAGTCTTATTTTATTTGCACCTCAATTTATTAATATATTTTTAAAATTGTGGTTCTTAGAAGTTTTAAGTGCATTAAAACTTGTAAAATGAACAATTTTAGAGTACTATAGTAGGACCAATAGTAAGGTCATAGAAACAGAACTGGAAGGGCCTGGGGGAGGGAAGTTCAGCAATAGAACCCCCTAATTTTTCATATGGGAAACCTGAGACTCAAAGAGGCTGTAACTTGTTCAGGGTCTCCCAGGAAGCCAGGATTCGAAAGTGTGCTTTAGGTAGCTGTGTATTTTCATTGGAAACAGTCTTTCCTTAGTTACCTAAGTTGCTGAAATACTTAGAAGTTTATTGCAACTGGTTGGATTTTTAATGGAAAGACTGCTTTTAGTATTTATAAACTCTTTGAAGGCAAAGATAGTGTTGCAAACGTTTTAATTATTTGCCACTCCCTTTCCATGCCTATTGCCTTAAGGGGGAGGGAAATGTGCTTTCAGTTGTTAGGGTAATAAAAGCAGCCTCTGTGCATTTACAACTTCAAGAGTGTTGAATATTAAACTTAATTCTTGGGTAGTTACACAGCTCCTTCGTCTCAAGCACCCTAGGACTTTGTGTCTAAACGACTGCGGTATACAGCTCCCTGTCTCACCCCCACCCCAGTTGCTTTGTTAGACCAAGGATTCAGTTACACTTTAAAGTGAAGTATATCTCTCATTAGGATAATAACAGGTGTGACTAAAGTGTGTTGGTATATGTGTGTACATATATCTTTTATATATATGTAGTGCTTTGAGGTTTACATAGTGCTTTGCAACATATAACACATCCATAAGGTATATATTTACAAATATTATCACTTATTTTTCAAATTAGGAACCTAAAAACTTGGAGAGTTTGTGAGCTCTTAATATAAGGTACTCTCCTATCATATAATCCTAGCATGTAATGAAAGGAGTCCTATTTTTCTTATCTTCTTTTGTTTTTGTTATGATACAGATAAAATGTGTTTAATGTTTGTGTGAGCTGGGTTGTAAACTACTCCTGATATTTTATAACTTAACGTTCCATAAAATATTGGCAGCCTTAAGAACCTTATTTTAATTTGTTTAATATCTTTAAATTTTTAAAGGACCACATTTCTGTATAAACAGCTTCCTGGTCTTTTTAGCAGATTTAAAACAAGGCTTCTAACCACTTAGCATAATTAGCCCAGTTTTTTTATTAGGATCATTTTTATATAAAATTCCTGGACGTCTCTCTTCATAGATTTGGCATTTGGAAACAGTTGCGTTATTTTTTAAAAGACAGTTCTCTAGAATAGAGTCTAGCTTTTGAATTGGTATATAAAAATAAAGATATGGAAATATCAAATACCTTTTGTATTTTAAGTGCAAATTTTAATTAGATTTTTAGATAGCTGAGAAAAGAGGGAGGTACAGGAAGAACTAAAAGAATTGTTTCAGATGGGAATTAAACCCAAACACCCATAGACTAAGTAATTTGCTTTTAGATAGCTTGGAATCAGACCAAAGTAACCTGGAATTAACGTTATCTGTGTTGTATTCTTCATTTTGTTAAATATTTCTCAGTTATATTTTAATCTGATTTAGGTAGCACTTGAGTTTTGCTAGCCTTGAATTTGAGGACTCATTTCTTGGGGACACTAAACATATATAAGATCCCTGTAGGCCACATATTGACTAAGAAAACTGCGTGTTAATATTATCCATATTTTATTGCATATTTATTTTGTTAATTATTGCCCAATTACATTCTAATCAGGATCTGACCATACCTGGCAATGTTATCAGCTCCATGCAGTCCGTGGCTGTGTGTTTGACACCTTTGATCTCATTTTTTAACTTCAGCATTTTCTGTTGCCCTGCTTGATGATTACCTTTGCATATAAGTCATTGACTGTTAAAGTATGCATACATATAGATTTTAATTTGAGAGTACTTCATAAAATTTCTCTGCCTTCTGGACTTATGCTACAGACTGGTGCATAGACCGAAATTATCTTTATAATTGTCTTTGTGCAAATGCTTATCTGCAAAGGGTGACATGACAGCTATCACCTATGAAATTATATTTCTTGTTGACTTTGGATGTTTGATGAAACCAAATGCTATCTCTTTTATTTGCCTAAGGAGAACTAGTGAGGCATCCTTCTATTTATCTGTAACTTCTTTTGTCTTGTTCCATTTATAGTGAAAATGCCAAGATTGATATGGTTCAGTACCCTCTGTGGCATGTCCATTTGTCACTAGACAAAGATTCCATGTTTGTATCTATCAACTGTTAACATTCTAAAAACTGCTTCTCAGCACCCTTTGTTCTACATCGTCACTGTAGAATCAGAAAGGGGTCCTATAGGACTTAAGGATATTTCCTATTTTTCTTTCTTCAAGTGCATTGCTGTAACCAAGGAATTCACACACTTACTGTCCAGGCTACTGGTGATAAGCCTCTTTGTGAACTAACTGGGCTGTTTCTCCAAAAGGAGACTAGCCTGTTGCCAAGATCCTACTGGACCCTTTCTAGTTTGTTATAGCTTTTCACAGCTTGTACTTCTTTGAGAATCTATGTTCTAGGGCAGGGGTGGGGAACCTGTGGCCTTGAGGCCACATGTGGCCTTCTAGGTCCTTGGGTACAGCCTTTTGACTAAATCCAAGTTTTACAGAACAAATCCTTTTATTAAGGGAATTTGTTCTGTAAAGTTTGGATTCTGTCAAAGGGCAGCACTTGAGGACCCTAGAGGGCCACAGGTTCCCCACCTTGTTTTACGGTAATTGTCCTGCCACAAAAAAGGCATCAGAGTACAGTTTGATACATTTCCAGTCGTTTCAATCAATCTTACTTGATTTTGTGTTATGTTCTAGTCTGGAGATCTTTTGGGATC